TTGACCGGTTATGGGAATGTATGCATTGTTATTTATGACAATAATATGAACTGAAACTAAATGAAACTGAACGCAGGAGAAAGTTTCGGTAGGAGCGAATACCCTGTTAAACTGAGAAACTAAACTCTGTGCCTCAACGACGAGTTGAAGTCCTAAGATTGCCTCGGCAGGTAGAGAGGCTCCCTGCTGAAGTCTGAACCAGAGAGACTCCGTTTATGCTTCTGGACGCACCTCGGTGTGTTACTGGGTTGTGGCGGGGGCTTAAGGCCTTGTGCCGGACCCACTGAGTCCCACCGACTGGACGAGACCCTAACCGGGCTAGGGTTAGGGTTCGGGTTAGGGTTAGGTGTGTGTGTGTGTGTGTGTGTGTGTGTGTGTGTAGCTGTAGTCGTTTCACTGGGCGGGGGGGCTGGCTGCCCCCACCCCTGGGACTGTCTGGGGGGGGGGTTCGGCGGCCCCCCCCTCTGGGACCCAGAGGGGGGGGGCAGTCAGGCTCCGCCCCGCACTTTGGTTTTTCTTGATCTGCTGATGTAGGACTATATTTATCCTCCTTGAGTTTTATGTATTTCTGATTTAATAAAGCATGATTTCAGCACTACCAACTCTCTCTCTCTGTGTTTTTGTCTCCTGCTTTCTTGCTTTATTTTTAACGAATCAGAATCAGAATCAGGTTTATTGCCAAGTAGGTTTTTAGACTTACAAGGAATTTGCCTTGGTGTTTGGTGCACAACACAACACTTCTATGAGAAGCAAGAATAAAATGTAGAAATAAAAATATAGGACAGAAATGATAAAACTGAAAAATACAATCTTTAAAAATATAGATCTGAATGTACAAATGAACAATCTTTAAAAATATAGATCCGAATGTGCAAATGAACAATCTTTAAAAATATAGATCTGAATGTACAAATGAATATCTTTAAAAATATAGATCTGAATGTACAAATGAACAATCTTTAAAAATATAGATCTGAATGTACAAATGAACAATCTTTAAAAATATAGATCCGAATGTGCACCAAAGGTCCTGTTCTGACCTTTAATGGGGGGGCAGTTAGTCCGGTACATAGAAGTGAGAAAGCTTTTCATAATAAACACAGGCTGGTGCCAGGAAGCCGAGCTGGAGCTGAACGTCCAGAAAACAAAGCACACGTGTGCTGACCTCTGACCTGCAGCCCTCCACAACCATCAGATATGAGCAGTTCACCAGTATAAGTGTCTTTGCTCTATCATAGATAACAAATGATGCTGTGTATGCTAACACAGCCTCAGAAAGCTAGCCGGGTTTCAGGCTAACATAACTCTGATGGCCATGTTCTACAGATCCTTTCTGGAGTCCATACTCACCTCCTCTGCCCTCTGCTGGTACGCTAACGTAAAGAATAAAAACGCCATATCCATGATTATTCAGGAAGTAAAATCACAGGTGTTCAACAGGAAAACGAGACTGAACTAAACAAAGAGGTCATTAGGAAGCTGAGTCCCTCTGGATAATTACACCCATCACCAAACAGCCAATTCCAGTTTAGACCCTCTGTTTCCCGTTATAAATACACACCCATCACCAAACAGCCCATTCCAGTTTAGACCCTCTGTTTCCTGTTATAAATATACACCCATCACCAAACAGCCCATTCCAGTTTAGACCCTCTGTTTCCCGTTATAAATATAAACCCATCACCAAACAGCCAATTCCAGTTTAGACCCTCTGCTTCCCGTTATAAATATAAACCCATCACCAAACAGCCAATTCCAGTTTAGACCCTCTGTTTCCCGTTATAAATATAAACCCATCACCAAACAGCCCATTCCAGTTTAGACCCTCTGTTTCCCGTTATAAATACAAACCCATCA